CCCGGCCTCCGCTGATAGCACCAGAAATATCATCATTCAGGGTCCCCTTGGCCAGAGCTGCCCGGCGGGGCCCAGCCAGCAGACTGCCTCCTTCTGGGGGGCCAAAGCCCAATGCAGGCCCAGGCCTGTCGCCCCTGTCCCCGCTCATGTTCAGGCGGGCTCTGGCCACTGTGCCCTCCCTTTGGGCTGGGGGGAAGGCCTGTGGAAGGCTGTGAGCCCCCACAACTCAGAGGCAGGGCCACCTGCGGCCACCTCACAGGCCCCGCCTCCAGCAGCTGGGTGCCAGCTGCCCTTGGCTGGCTCTGCCCCCTCCATCTCTCACTGCTCATCTGGCACAGAAGTTCCTGCAGCCACTCACCCTTGCTCAGAGTCAAGTTCAAAGGCTAGAGAGCACTCCAGACGCAGGCGGCCTCTTCAGGCACCTGCCCACTCTTCTGTCCCGCCACGGCCCAAGGGGCAACAGTGCCCACTGGACAGCCTTTCTGTTACTTGGCTGCCCTGTGGGGGCAGCACCCTAAACTGAGAGGGCTGGGCCTCCAGACCCCCCAGGGAGTGCGGGCAAGAGGCTGCTGGGCCCAGTGGGCAGGCAGGTGCCAGGAGTCCAGGCTGACTTGGCCCCTGGTCTGCTCTGCTGGCCTGGCGTCAGGGGACCGGTGTGAATTCCCAGGCTCCCTCTGGCTGTGTAGCTGCCCTGCTCCCCAGGCCCTGGCTCCCACCCACATGTGGAGGGCGGGAGAGAGGGATGTCCAGTCGTGGCAGAAGTCCCATGTTTTTTCTGCTGAAGAAGCTCTGTCCTGGAAGAGCTGGCCCCTGGGTCCCTGGGGCCGCTGGCATCCCTGCTCCGGGCACTGCCCGCCCCGGTTCCCCATGGTCTGTCTCTGAGGGTGGGCTTGGCCGTGGTCCAGGCCCTCTGGCCCAGCAGCGTAGGCCCCCTGAGACCTCCCACTAACTGGCTCTTGCACTCGCTCCAGCCCCCAGCCCCGCAAGTCTGGGCTTTGTCAGAAAACGGTTTAATTAGCGGCTCGGAGGCTCGGAGGGTTCATGCCGAGTGCGCAGCCTCTCTCGCCTCCGCCCTTCCCGCCCGCCCTGTGGGTGCTGCGTGCGGTGCCAAGCCTGGGGGCTGGGTGAGTGAGAAGGCAGCAGTGCAGAGGCCTCCCCGCGGCCCCTGCCCCCCCAAGGCGCCTGGACCCCATGTGCTGCAGCTTGTAGGAGCGCTCAGCGCCTCCGGTGAGCAGGCGTGACTGCAGGGAGGCCTCCGAGTCGGCCCCTCTGCCCAGCCCGGGCCTCCACCCCTGCTCCTGGGGACTCTGCCCCAGCCTGTCACTGGTCCCCTCCCAAGGACCCCAGCACCCTCCTCTGCAGGGCAGCCAGAGCGACCCTTCTAAACTGCAGGCCTGCTCACGCCCCACCTGCCCAGGGCTCCGGCTCCCCACTTCCCTCAGGTTAGAGACAGGCCCTCAGTGGGGCCCTCGAATCCCCCCGCAAGGCCAGAACCCCGTTTCCCACTTCAGCACAGACCACCGCCCTCCCCGAACCCAGAGCTCCGGGACACCCAGGCCTCCCTCCTCTGAGCCTCCACCTAGGCGGTTCCCCCGGCCCGAAATGGCCTCCTCTTCCACCCTCTCTCTGCCTTGCTGACCCCAGGACAGTGCGTGCTCCCAAAGGGAAAAGCTCTCCCTCCCCTGCGCCCCCACCCCCATCCGTGCTGGCACCAGGGCAGGGCCCGCACCCCGCGTGGGGGAGGCGAGCGGGCTGTGGACGGCCATCCCGACCGGAGGAAGTGAGCGGCTCTGGAACAAAACCCAGATCTGAGGCACAAAGAGCCTTTTCATCCCGGAAGGTCGCACACAGAGGCTGACCTCCGCCTGGGAGTCCAAAGGGAAGGAGAGCGCAGGGTCTGGCTCGCGCCCGCTCCGACCGGCTCGCGGCTCCGCATCCTGCCCTCCTCGCCTCTGTCCGGGAGGCGGTGCCCATGGGGTGCACTCGGCACACCGCTCGGCTCAGTCACCAGCCATTACGCCCACCTGGGTTTCCAGCACCACGTCCGAGGCATCTGATTAATAACATGCACATAAAAATCCGTCCTAAGAGCCATAGGTTGAAATGGAGCAGGAGGGCTAATTGCTAATATGAGAATTAATATCAGCGAGGAGCGATCTTTCAGGCCGCCAGGAACTGTAATGATGGAGAGCATTCCCATGGAGGGGGGGTCTGGAGGCCCAAAGGTGGGGCGGCGTGATGTGGGAGTCTGGAGGACCCAGAGCCACAGCACTTGTCACCTGCCCCAGGAAGCCCCACGTGGAACCCGCACCTCCAGGCTGAACCAGGCTGGGCTGTTTGCCACTATAATGCCCTGTGGGTCTCCCACTGGGGCCCCTTGCAAACCAGAGGCTGTTCTGTGGGGCCTCAGGCTCCTGAGGGTCAGGGGCTCCTCTGTGGACCACAGGGTCCCGCACGGTGCCAGGGGTGTGGCTGGACTCAGCGCATGTCCGTGGGATGGATGTGTGGGTAGAGAGATGGACAGACGGATGGATGGATGGATGGATGACCACACAAGAGGCCCAGGGCCACCTTGTATTTGGTCACCGGTATGTGTCTGTTGCGCCCAGACTGGCATTTCATGCGGGCAGAAGCGAACTGGCCTCAAGGCCCTGGCGGTCACGTAGGCCATGCCATCTCAGACAAGTGCCCCCCTCCTTTTTTTAAAGTCCCCATTGCACCCACACAGTGGCCATGGGCCCCCCAGCCATGTGGGTTGTCCTGAGGCTGGGGGAGTGGCAAAGCAGGAGCAACCTGGACGAGGACGGGGTCCCTGCGCCCGTGGGAAGCTCAGTGCTGAGATGCGGGGCTTCCCCCACTGGCGGTGTCTTCTAACACTGTCACCGTGCCACATACAACCACTGCGTAAGCATCGAGAGCAGTTACAAGTGGGAGCTTTTATTACGTTGACCCCAAAATGGTTCTGCAGCACCTGAACACAGACGGGGACCAGACCTGGAGCCGGCTGGGGGCGGGGGCAGGCCACGGCAGTCTTATGGGGGGGGTCCCCGTAAGCTGGCCGAAGAGGCAGGGGCTGAAGAGGGGTCCCCATTTCTGAGTCCTTGGGGCCCCACAGGTTCACTTCCTCCTTGGTCAACTCGACTGACCACCTGGAGAGTCCACGTGCCACCGCTGACTGTCCGCACTGTGGGCTCAGTGGCCCTGACGGCAGGTGTTTGCCAGAAGGGCGCACTTGAGTATTTACTGCTGGGCCTGATGGATGCCAGCAGGCACCGGGATGCGCCCACGAGGAACAAGCCCGTGCCTCCACGCACCGCCGCCCAGGCAGCAGACGTGGGGATACAAAAACACCCCTCGCACGCCCGAGAGGCACCCACTCACCCGGGCGGAACACTCCAGGAGCCCGGTACCCTCGGTGGGGGCTGGGACGTGAGGCGCGCCCAGGGTTCCCAGGAGGCTTGGGGACCACAGGGAAGGCAGGTTTGTGCGACCACACCCCCCCCATGTGGAAGGTGAGGGGTGCTGTCAGATGGACCCCCGCAGGCTGGTGGACCAGGCGGGGCCGGGGGGGTCCCTGGAGGCTGTCGCAGGGCCGCTGCCCCGATCCCGAGGGTTGTCGGGAGGGCCCGATGCTCCCGAGGGAGCGTCTCTGTCACCGGAAGCCGTGACCGTGACTGGCAGCCATGACTGGCCGGAGCCTCTGGGCTCCGAGGACATTGCGGCCCCTGCCCCCGCCCCCTCCCCCGTGGTCTAAAACAATTTCCTCGACCCAGCCAGGGAGGCAGATGACCTCGTTGGACGCTTTCCATCTCTTGCTTTCATAGAGAAATTACAATTTATAATTGGATGAAATCACATGGGTGTAACAGCAATAAAACCTTTCGCCGAGCCCGGCATCCCTCTCAGGAGGGGACTCTGTCCTCATCTTCCCTCCTGTGCAGACCCCACCCTGCCCCTTGATGGGGGCGCCCCCCTCCCCTCACACCCGAGGACTGATGTCCCCTGGGGCTCACTGGTTCTTTCTTAAACCTCCCTGCTCTAGGGGAAGCTTGTCCCAAGAGCTCCCCCGTCCCGTCAACCCCATGAGCCTGCACTGCCCCTGGCCAGCACCCCCTGCCGGGCTGGCTGCCCAGTGGGCAGTGAGCCCCCAGCCTGGGTTTGGGACTTATTAAAACACCCCCCAACCCCAAGCACCTAGAAACTCTTGTTATTTGGAACGGGCCCAGACAAGCCCTTCTCGAGCCGGCCACCTTCGGCCCAGTAACGAAAAGCGCCCAGATGCAGCAGAGCCCGCCTGGGTCCTGTTTCAAACCGGAGCTGACACTCTCAGATGTGTAATGAAAGCGCTTTTCCAAAGAGGGGCTCCTGCAGGGGCAGTGCAGACTCCAGGACACTGGACCTTCGCGGCTAATGAGAGGGTCAGCGAATGAGAGGCAGCCAGGGTGGCGGCCATGCCCTGGGTCTCCGAGGAGGGGCCTCTGGGGTGTGCGGAGCTGACCCTGGCTTGGGAAGCCGGGTGGTCGCAAGAGAGAGGCAGGGACGCACCTCCCCAGGTTTCCCGATGCTCTTGCTTCCTGAGGGTGGTGGGGGAAGGCAGAGCCTGTTCTGGAAGCCGAGGCCACCGTGGCCCAGTTGGACCCTTTGAATGGCAGGAGGGACGGGAGCAGGTGCTGGGGAAGCGGAGCCAGCTCTGGGCCGGAGCTGGGCCCCTGCGGGGCCAGGAGCCCTCAGAACTTCCTTTTTCTCTTCCCAGTCCTTCCACCCCCAGGAAAGGGGGAGCCAGGGCATTGGGAGGCAGAGCTGTGTGTGGCCAGCTGTTTGGTGTCTGGATTTGAAAGGAGAAGGGAGGTGGCGGAGCATCTTCCCAGCCCCCTCCCAGCTCATGGGAAGGAGGCGTTTAGGGGACCGATTCCGAGGGGAGGGGTGGGCTGCAGCCCAGGCAGCCCGCCGCAGGTGGCTCCTACTTCTGGGCCTTAATGACTCCACTTGTTTTTCGGCAGGTGAGGCGGGGAGTGAGTAAAAAGGACTCCTGTTTGGACAGACAAGCCCAGGAAGCGAAGCTGGAGTAACGTGCACCCCCCACCGCCCGCTTCCTCGGCGAGAAAACTTCTCTCCACAAACAGGAGCAGCCGAGCAGACTGAGCCCTCACCTCCCAGGCAGCTTTCCAAAGAGGGGCCTGTGGGGCCTGGCGGCCGGCGGCGTGTGTCAGCAGCTCTGCCCGCTGCGGGTAATGGACCCCCTTTGCCCGGGGACACAGCCTGAGTGGCTGGAGCACCGGGTCCTTGGAGAGTGGCTCCCTCTCCAGTCCGTCACACAAGAGCACTCCCTGCCCTGGGCCCGTTCTGCCCAGTGACTTGAAGGGATTAAAAAAAGAAGAAATTTGGTAAAGGAAAGGGGGCAGAAGCCACGCAGAAGCCCTTTGGAGGAGGTGGCAGCCAGCAGACGGAGAGCGGAAGTTGAGCGAGGACAGGGACAGGCCGCCCCCGCCTGCCCGGGATGGGCGCCAGGCCCTAGGGCATGCCTGGTGAGTGGGGGCCCGGAGCACCCTCGGGCCGTGCACGGGAGTCCGGGGCCTCCGGGGGCACCTCTGCGGACACTCACACGGGCCCCCCGCCCCGGGGGGCAGAGGCCGGCAGCACCTGTGGCCTGAGACCGCACGGAGTGCGCGGCTCTGGACCCCCAGCCACAGGTGACTCCGGGCCCAGCAGAGTCGAGCGTAGGGCCTCCTCCGTGCGCCCCGGGGCGCCCCCAGTGCAACCTCGCACCCCAGGCCTGCGGTCTGCACCCCCAGCACCAGGGCCGTGGGCCCGAATGTGAGTGTGGCCCAGGCCCCCCTGGACCGAAGCATAGCGTCTGGAGCAGCAATCCCGAGAGACCCAGCAGGCTCCAGGACAGCAGCGAAGGAGGTAAGACGGGTAGGGAAGGGCTCGTGGTCCAGGAAGGCCCAGGGGCGCCTTGTGCCCACAGAGGGCGTACAGACGGAACAGCTGGGGCCTGCCCTCAAACTGGGCTGGGTCAAACTGGGGCCTCACAGAGCCCCCCAGGTCTGTAGCTCCACACTCCCCACCCCACACTTGAAGTTCGGGCGGCTAGCCTCTTCTGCTTGCTGGGGGGAAGGGTCATTTGCTACCAGGCGGCCCCACGCTGCTGGGCTCTACTCCAGGGTGGGTGGACCCCAGGTATCAGGGAGCGGACTCTCACGGAGTAAACCGCTGCACGCACACCCCTCCCAGGTCCCTGCTGTCCTCGGAGGGAGGTCTCACCGTGAGCCCCTCCAGGTTGCCCGAAGGAGGCAGCAGGGAGGCCTTGGGGAGGCAGAGCCGTTGGTGACTTAAGCACTGGCGAGGAGGACCCAGGTGAGGTGGGTCCAAAGCCATCAGCCGAGGCCCTGCTCTGGCTGGCCTTCACGCATCGTCTGCTCTGGCTTCAGTTCATCCCCTGGGTTGCCAAGGTTGTGTGTGGGGCCCAGAGGAGAGCACCGAGTCCCTAAGGCCTGCCAGGGCTGGGCTGGGTTGGGGCAGGGTCCCGCCCTGTCCTCCTGGTGCCCAAGGCCAGGAGGGACGACTTGACCCTCCAGAAACAGAAACGCCAGGCCGCCTGGAGCGGAGGCGGCGCCCTGGGCAGGGCAGGGAAGCCCCAGTTCGTTAGCTGGATGGAAACGACACTTCTCTGCGCTGGTCCCCAGGAGAGAGGCTGATTTACGGCCGCACCCGGGCGGGACATTCGTCAGCGCCGCGTGGCGGGCACACTGTCTGCGGGGGCATTAATAGTGTGTTATTAGCCGCCAGCGTGAGAGATGCCCTGCGGACGGGCTGTTTGCCGTTATTCATTATGAAGGCGCCAGCCCGGCAGTGGGGACCGTCAGCGCCTGAGCTTGACCCCTGCCCGCCAGCCTCCCTGCCACGGTCCCTGTTCTCCCTCCAGCCCTGCCAGGGGTTGTGGGGGAGGGGCATCCCTGGGGCTGAGGCCGTGCTGGAAGGGAAGGGCCGGCTGTGGTTCCCCAGGCTTGTGGCCTGACTATTCATGGAGAGCCTGTTCCGGGCCTGGCTCTGCCTCAGGACTGGGCTGTGGAGCCAGTCACATGTGGACGGGTGCCCTGGCCTCCGGTCTGCGAGTGGCTGGACCGTGGGCGCCTCCCTTCCCCTCCCCCACCTGCACGTGCACTGTGGGCTCAGGCTCCACAGGGCAGTGGCCAGCTGGAAAGGACAGGAGTTTGTGAAGGGCCCAGCATGCAGCAGGTGCTCAGGCTGGCCCGCCACTGCCACTGCCCGGCCTGAGTCCACGGGCCAGAGGGGCTGCAGATTCCCTGGTGGCAGAGAGCAGCCCCCAGGAGACCCTGCTCGGCTGGACGTGCCCGCCGTCACGGCCCACGCCAGGCCCCAGGACAGGGTTTGAGAGTCGGTGCCAAGGCCGGAGGAGGTGGGCAGGTCCGCAGCTGCTGTGGGGTTCTCTCTGCCCTGCGCCCGTCCTTCCCCTCTGGGCCTCGGTTTTTCCTCCTCTGTGAGAAGCGGAGGGTCTGTGAGACCCTCTGCCTCCCCAGTCCCAAGAGTGGGCTCCACCCTGTGGGAACCTGTGGGGGTGAGCGGGGAGGGGCTCATCTCTAAGAAAGTGGGGCCAGCCTCTGACGCCTGGAGGCAGACCCATACGTAGTTGGGCGGTTCCAGCTGTGGTCACCCCCATAAGAGGAGATGAGTGGGGGCAGCAGGGGTCTTTCCTGGGTTTGCTCCTTCCCAGGGTGGGGCCTCCCCAGCTGAAGGACAGGTGTGAGATACCTGGGAAGAAAAGACCCAAGTCCAAGGCCTGGGCTTGCGTCCGGCTCCTCTGCCACGCACTGCACGATTCAGACCAGTGCCTCTGCCCCTCTGGGCTGCGGTGCTGAGGGCCCCGGCTCACTGCTACCTGCTGGGGTGGGGCCGAAGGAGGCCCCCAGCCCCCCCCCTTCTTTCACTACTGCCGGGTCCTGGGTTTTAGGCTCTGGGGCCTCCCTTTCAGCATACTCATTCATTCGTCCATCCATCCATCCATCCTTTCATCCATTCAATAAGCATTTGTGAGCACCCCCAGGGCCAGGCTCTGGGTTAGGCCCATGAACAGGATGGAACATGTCCTAACTAGTAGTTTATTATATTCTAGGAGCTGGACAGCCAGTTCACTGTAAGTCAACAGGAGGTCTCCCCAGTACCAGGGCCTGATGTGGTCTGTGCCACACAGCTCCTGGGAGGCCCAGCCCACACCCAGCTCCGAGTCTCTGCTTTATGATCAGCGCACATCACCATACCCGGTCTTTCCGGGTCACCCCACTCCTGTCTTGGCCCCTGGCTGCCGGGACCGCACGGGCTGCTGAGAAGCCCGGCAGTGCAGACCCAGGGGACCCCTTCCCTGTGCTCAGGCGCTGCCCCCTCTGTTCCTTCCTCCCAGCCCCCCAGAATTAAGGCCCTCAGGCCTCTCTCCTACCTCTGAGACTCCCTTGCCTCTCCTTTTTCCTTCGAAAAGAAACCAGGCCCCAGTCTAGGCAGCTTTGCTAAAAATGCACAGACGCAGGGAAATGCCAGGTGCAGGAACCGCTTATTAAATGACGCCGGGAGAGAAAGAGACAAAATTACACGTGTCTCCTTTCATCCCCCCACCCTCTCCTGGCCCTGAACAGTTTAATATCGAACACTGTTATCAATATAATTAACCTCCTAAGACCCAGTTTTAAAGCCTTATTTTTTTAAAGCGATTTGCCTTCTCCGAAGTTCAGGACATCCCAGCGCCCGGCGCCGCCCAGGCAGCCATGAGGCAGGCGAGCTGAGCTGAGCCGGGGTGTGTTTCCAGCGGATTTACATACCTGCCTGCCGCTCCCGCCAGTGATAACTACTGATGCATAATGCATGCAGCATATAATTAGAAAAATAATTAACTTTAGGTTTTCAAAGAATCCCTACCCCCACCCCCCACACATTACAAGTTCTCTGTGGCCCCAGGAGGCAGGTCGGGCGTGAAGTTGGGCAGGGACGGGCTACAAGGGCCTGGAGGGTTGTCTGGGCAGGACCCCGAACCGCACACTCCCCTCCTCACCTACCACGCACACCTGGACCGGCCGGGAAGCACGGTCTGTCGCCAGTGACGGCGCTGGTCCCCGGGCCTGTTCACCTCTCTGCGCCCGGCCCTCTCTCTCTCTCTCTGCTCCACCTTGAACACCACTGTCCTTTATCCTCACAAGAACCCAGGGGCATGGGTCATTCACAGTACCGTGTTACAGATGAAGAACCCAGACCCGAGGCCGCCCTGGAGGTGGAGCCGTGCACTGAGCCAGGCCCTGGCTGGGCTGCCTGCCTCCGAGGGGGAGGGGCTTCCTGGAGGTGGGGGAGCTCTCCCTGGGCCTCCCTGAACACGGGGAGGTGGAGGCCCGTCCTCCTGCCTCCTGACCTTCCGCCCTCCCGATTGCTTATAATGCCGCCACGGAGGTCACTAGGCTGGTGGGGAAGCACTGTGGGCCCCTCATTGACTTAAACAAAGGGGCACTGAGGACCCATCGCAGACCTGGAGGTGAACCTGCCCTGTTGGAGCTCCCTGCTGGGCGGCCCCTGCCTCTCCCCTTCTGGCCTGAAATCTCTTCTGTCCCCGTCTGCCCTGAGGGCCTGGCAAAGGTCAGGGGCAACGCAGGGGCACGGGAAGGGGGAGGGCGAGGGGCCCCTCTGTCCCAGCCTCCACTCCCCGGCCCCGGCTCCCCAGCTCCCCAGCTTGCGTCTGCCGTCCCCCTTCGGGAGCTCAGCTGGCACTAGTGGGTGGGCAGCGCCCTGAATGCGTCCCAGGACCTTGGGCCCCTCCGTGGGGACAGCTGGGACAGCTCTTCTCCCCAAAACCTCCAGCCCTGAGCTCGGCACTGCACGTCGCCCCTCCCTCAGCAGTGCCTTACAGGCGAGGAAACTGAGGCCCAGAGAAGCCACAGGGCTGTCACCGCAGGCCACACGGCAGGGGGCTGGGAAAGCCAGGTTCGAGCCCAGCCCCGCTGTCCGCTCCCCGCGACGGGGAGGCATTTCTAGTACACGTGCCTCCTTCCTAGAGTCTGTGTGGCCCAGAGGCGGGGGCTGTGCGTCCACCCCAGCTTGGGGGGAGGGGCCGAGGACGCACAGTGTGAGGCGAGCAGGGCCACCCAGGGTCACAGCCACACGCACGGCCCACAGCCTCCCTGTCTACTTTGGAGGCTCGGCGGAGCGGGTGAGGGGGAGTGAAGAAGGGGCCGCTGGAGAGCAGAGGAAAGAGAGGAGCGTCGAACACCCAGGCCGGGCTGGTGTGCCTGCGGCAGCGGGAAAACTGCCGCGGTGTTCACACCTCAGGCATGCGTCATGCGCAGGTCGCAGTTACAAGGGTGCTTTGCGCATGTTGTCTTACGGAATCCTCATTGGTAAGTTCCCCTGTAAGGAGAACTGTTCTGACCACACTTGTAGATGAGGAAGCCGAAGCTCAGAAAGGGCAAGGAACTTGCTCAAGGTCACACAGCCCGGAAGTGGCAGAGACAAGACTACAACCCAGGTTTCTCTGTCCTGGAAGGGGGCAGGAGCTAGTGGCAAATGCCAAAAACTGCCCCAGGTAACACCCCACCCCATCCTGCCCCGCCGATGGGGGTCTGAATACCTCCAGCCTGAGCCGCTCACTGCTTCCCCTCCCCCGCCCACCGCCAAGGCAGGACAAGCGTCCTGTCCTGTTGTCAGTCACGAGTTGGCAGGTCATGACTCACACGCCACCGAAGTCTGTGGGATCCGCACAATGACAACAGGTGACCCCGTAAAAGACAGGCGATTTACCGCGTTTAGTTTGATGGCCACGTAAACCATCTCATACACAACCAGGGAATAAACGGGCTGCCTGGCACCTGGGCAGTTACGGGGCTCCTCCGGCGAGGCAAGCTCCCCCTCCCACCCCAGGCCCCGCCCTGAGGGAAGGGGCAGCAGGGGAGCCTTGAGCCAAGATGGATGAGGCCCACAGACGGGACGGAAAGGCCTTGGGTCCCTGCCTCCCAAATGCGACTCGGTTACCCATCAGACATCTCTGCAGTGTGCGATTTACACTGTCATTGATGCCAGGGCCTCTGGAGGCTGAGGGCTGGGCGGCGAGCTGACGTCCGAGACTGGCCTGCCTTTGGCCTGAACAAGCCTGCCCCTGCTCTGGGCGCTGGCCTGGAACAGCTGAGCCCAGGCGCCTCCCAAGTGCTCTCGCCAGGACTCAGCGCTGACAGACCAGGGAGGCTGTGTGTCCTCTGGCCATTTGCCAGGGGCCCAGACAGAGGCTCTCCTGGGCTCGGGCTGGACTCCTGAGACCAAGGCAAGGCTGCTTTTGGGCGGGCCTGCACCCTCCTGTCCTCAGTGCCTGCCCTGGCCCCGACTCTCTGCTCACAAGCAGCTCGAGACAGGACTTCCAGGGCCTGTGCCGTCGTGGTCCTGGCTCTGAGCAGGGGAAGGGGACGGGTGTGCAGGCGGAAACCTGGGCTGGCCGTGACCGCGGGTGGGCGCCTCAGGCTGCTCAGCAGGAAAGTGGGACAGGGCACCTGTGTGTGTGTGACCGGTGGGTGAAGGCACAAACGTGTGCCTGTGAAGAGGGGGTGAGGCTGGAAGGTCCCCCAGGGGCCCGGGTTCCTCCCTGTTGAAGGCTGGTGTTCCCAGGTCCAAGTGACCATCTCCTGCTCTAAGTCCGTCTGTCCTACAGATGGTAGTCTGGTGGTCTTCCCAATCCCGGATCCAACAAGAGGTGGGGGAGTCGGGGGTCCGATAAGGGTGGGGCAGCCTGGGAGACCCATGCTCCGCCCAGATGGGGGGCGCAGGGTGGGCTGGGAAGCATGGTGCAAGGCTCTGGGTGGGAGGCAAGCAGAGGAGAAGTGGCCAGGCTGTCTGGGCAGGGAAACGGACAAGAGCACGACCCAGGGGCAGAGCCAGGGGCTCAACCTGCAGGAAGCGCAGACCAGCTCCATGTTCCGAGAGGCGAGTCTGTGAGTGGGGCAAGACCTGTAGCCTGGGCTGGGCAAGCGCCCTTGGTCCCTCAGGCCAGTGGGTGCTGGTGGGAGGGAGCTTGAGCTGGCTTCAGGGGACCAGAGTGCTGGGCATGGTCTTGTTAGCACCCTCCCCTACTTTCCCCTCTGACTCTAGACACAGACCCCGGGCACCTCCCCACAGTCCTAACTTGCTTCCAGCCAGGTGTCCTGGGCTGACCCCTGACTTGCCTTGGGACCTTATGGACAAAGCTTCTCTGGGAACAGGCCCTGGGCTGGGTTGGTGTGTCAGCCAGCCACGGGCAAAGCCCGAGCCCTCCTCCCCCAAACCCCAGAAGGCCTTGGAGCTGTGGGCGGGGCAAGGCCCTGTAAATGCAAATGGAGCCTGAGTGTGCGGGGACGCCGCCCCTTGTACAAGCAGGTGGTCACTGACGCCCAGCCTCACGGCCAACTCGGCCCGTGGGCCCGGCCCTCCAGCCTCTGAAATTAGCTGAGGACGGTAAAACACTAGTCACCAAACAGCACAGCCTGCAGCCCATGCGCATACAGCGCTTTGAGCCTGGTGCTGGAGATTCTGGCCTTGGAGCGAGTAGTCTCGAGTGAGTTCGCATCTCCAAGCCTCAGGTGTCTCATCTGTTACGTATGAGGCAGCAAGAAGGGCTCCGGCCACAGGTTTGCTGGGAGGGTTGCATGACTTCAGTTTTCACACAGCCCCAGGCAAGGTCACTATTACTGTGTGAGCTGCCATCCCACCAGAGCGGAGTCACAAGTGGCTAGAACACGGGTTGGCATATGGTACGTGATCGATCAACATCTGCTGGGTGGCTGGGTGGCCAGATGCGCGGATGGACGAGTGATGGGAGGGAGGGAGGGAGGGACAGATGGGTGGGCAGACCAAGGGCTCAGTGAGTGGGTGGGTGGGTGGAAGGAGAGACGACAGAGCGGAGAGAAGCTCTCTCTCGGCATCAGGAAACCTAGCGGGGGAGGGGTCACTGGAGCCCGGTCGCGAAGGGCGACAGCAGTTTGCTGGATAGAGAGGAGCAGACCTGGGATAGAGAGAGACCAGGAAGGGGGTTCGAGCTGGGTGAGAAATGGAGACGCCTGGGCACCGGGCCCCACTGACGCCTTCTGGGGGGAGGTGCCCTCCTGCTCTGCGCCCAGGGCCGCCCTCTGCCAAAGAGGCTTTGTGGCCCTGCACTCACACTGCAGACCTTTGCCAGCTGCACGAAGACACCTTCCCCACGGAGGCTGAAAGATAATTTCTCTTTAATTGATTTTTTTACCCCTACGAAATGTAAAATAACGAGGAGAGTCTGTCCTGTAATTTCCCCATTTGTGAAAGCTGACGTTACACCTCCAGTTTCCTCAGAGCGTGGCCCCTCCCTCCTTTAAAAAAAAACCTCATTTCTTTAAATGCAAGGAAACATATATATTTTTCAAGTTTTGTGATTTTGGAAGTGGACAAGGTGTGGAATAATTTTCCACACAGCACGGAACGCAGAGCCAGGGAGGGCACCTCAGATAAAAAGAGATCCTGTAAATACAGGAGAGAAAGCAGCTCTGTCGACACCTTCGTCTTCTGTCTATGAAATGCACGAGCGACAAACAGGACATGTTTTAACACCAGACAATGAAGCGCCCGCTCTCTGCTGCTCACCAGTGACGATGCTGGCAGCTTTTCTAGTCTCTCTCTCTCTCTCTCTCTCACGCACACACACCCTTTGAGCTTGCAGGCCTTCCAGAAACAAGCTTTCCCTTCAAACCCTGGGTCCGAGCCAGGTGTGAGCTCCTCATTCCAGTGAGAAATGGCTCTGAATCCACAAAACTCGCCCTAAGTCCATCCCGCCCAGCTCTGACCAGCCCCTTTCAGCACTGGCTGTAAAAAGTGGCTTCGTGGGAAATCTTGAAGGAAGAAACCAAAGCTGCAGCCTGGCCCTCCCTAAAGTAACCTCACTCGAGGCGCGGAATCGTCATCTGGGAGGGCACACGGCACCTGTGCCCTTTGCGGGCAGCGCCTCGCTCCTGCTGAGATGCAATGCTAGCCAGATGTCGCTGGAGTCCACCCTAAGCCTGACCGGCCACCAGCCTGGGCACTGAGGGGCGTGGTGCCGCGCCGCGAGGCTGGGTTTCTGCCTCACGTCCCTGCCTGCGGTGGCCCGTCAGTGGCGGGCGGTCACTGCCACTCGCTCTCACCGTGCGTGTCTTGTGCTCCTTGCAGGTGCTGAGGCCCCAGGTCAGGTGAGGCCCCGCTCCCCCAGCCATCCACCATGGTGGTGGCGCACCCCGCCGCCGCCGCCACCACCACGACTGCCGCCACCGTCACGGCCACCGTCGTGATGACCACGGCCACCATGGACCTGCGGGACTGGCTCTTCCTCTGCTACGGGCTCATCGCCTTCCTGACGGAGGTCATCGACAGCACCACCTGCCCCTCGGTGTGCCGCTGCGACAACGGCTTCATCTACTGCAACGACCGGGGGCTCACCTCCATCCCCGCCGACATCCCCGATGACGCCACCACCCTCTACCTGCAGAACAACCAGATCAACAACGCCGGCATCCCCCAGGACCTCAAGACCAAGGTCAGTGTGCAGGTCATCTACCTGTACGAGAACGACCTGGACGAGTTCCCCGTCAACCTGCCCCGCTCCCTGCGGGAGCTGCACCTGCAGGACAACAACGTGCGGGCCATCGCCCGGGACTCGCTGTCCCGCCTCCCGCTGCTGGAGAAGCTGCACCTGGACGACAACTCCGTGTCCACCGTCAGCATCGAGGAGGACGCCTTCGCCGACAGCAAGCAGCTCAAGCTGCTCTTCCTGAGCCGCAACCACCTGAGCAGCATCCCCTCGGGGCTGCCCCGCACGCTGGAGGAGCTGCGGCTGGACGACAACCGCATCTCCACCATCCCGCTGCACGCCTTCAAGGGCCTGGACAGCCTCCGGCGCCTGGTGCTGGACGGCAACCTGCTGGCCAACCAGCGCATCGCCGACGACACCTTCAGCCGCCTGCAGAACCTCACCGAGCTCTCGCTGGTGCGCAACTCGCTGGCCGCCCCGCCCCTCAACCTGCCCAGCACCCACCTGCAGAAGCTCTACCTGCAGGACAACGCCATCAGCCACATCCCCTACAACACGCTGGCCAAGATGCGCGCGCTGGAGCGCCTGGACCTGTCCAACAACAACCTCACCACACTGCCGCGTGGCCTGTTCGACGGCCTGCAGAGCCTGGCCCAGCTGCTGCTCCGCAACAACCCCTGGTTCTGCGGCTGCAGCCTCATGTGGCTGCGGGACTGGGTGAAGGCACGGGCGGCCGTGGTCAACGTGCGAGGCCTCATGTGCCAGGGCCCCGAGAAGGTCCGGGGCATGGCCATCAAGGACATCACCAACGAGATGGACGAGTGCTTCGAGATGGGGCCGCAGGGAGGCGTGGCCAACGCTGCCACCAAGACCACGGCCAGCAGCCACACCTCCGCCACCACGCCCCAGGGCTCGCTCTTCACCCTCAAGGCCAAGAGACCGAGGCTGCGCCTCCCTGACTCCAACCTGGACTACCCCATGGCCACGGGTGACGGCGCCAAGGCCCTGGTCATCCACGTGAAGCCCCTGACGGCGGACTCCATCCACATCACGTGGAAGGCCGCACTCCCTGCCTCCTCCTTCCGGCTCAGCTGGCTGCGCCTGGGCCACAGCCCGGCCGTAGGCTCCATCACGGAGACCCTGGTGCAGGGGGACAAGACGGAGTACCTGCTGACGGCCCTGGAGCCCAAGTCCACCTACATCATCTGCATGGTCACCATGGAGACCGGCAACACCTATGTGGCCGATGAGACGCCCGTGTGCGCCAAGGCGGAGACCGCCGACAGCTACGGCCCCACCACCACGCTCAACCAGGAGCAGAACGCCCACCCTATGGCCGGCCTGCCCCTGGCGGCTATCATCGGGGGCGCCGTGGCCCTCGTCTTTCTCTTCCTGGTCCTGGGGGCCATCTGCTGGTACGTGAACCGGGCCAGCGAGCTCCTGACCCGGGAGCGGGCCTACAACCGGGGCAGCCAGAAGAAGGGCAAGTATATGGAGTCGGGGACCAAGAAGGATAACTCCATCCTGGAAATCCGGGGCCCGGGGCTGCAGATGCTGCCCGTCAACCCGTACCACGCTAAAGAGGAGTATGTGGTCCACACCATCTTCCCCTCCAACGGCAGCAGCCTCTGCAAGGGCTCGCACACCATTGGCTACGGCACCACGCGGGGCTACCGCGACGCCGGCATCCCCGACATGGACTATTCCTACACATGATGCCCGGCCTGGCAGGCCCGCCCGGCACCCGCCGCCTCCTGGCCTGCAACCCCTCGCTCTGCCCGGCCTGCTGCCCTCCGACGGGGCAAGGAAAAGAAACCACGATGACCCCCCCCCACCCCAGCGAACAGCAGAGTTTGGGGAGGGTTATCAATTTTCTAGAACACAGCAGTGGGGAAAAATTTTTTTTAAAGGATAGAAGGCAAGAGAGGGGTTTGATGTTGCGGAAGACATAATTTATACCGAATCGTGCCAGCTGGGGAGGGAAGGACTGAAAGTGATACTGCAGGAAGGGTCGGGGCGGGTGGTTTTCCCTGCGAAGGGGGCAGACACTACCTGTACAGCGTCTGTGCGCCGTGCGCCCTGTCCGGGCCGGCACAGGAGGACCGTCAGGGAGGACCAGCCGGCACGGGAGCCCCCACCAGCTCTTGGTGCCGCTGCTCACTGGCAACGACCTGGTGGAAGATTCGCAGGCTCCTCCCAAGGAGAGGGGGGAGGAAGATCTTTCTGTTGGGGAGACGGTGTCCTGAAAGCGCTTCTCCGGTTCCTTCCATACCACTTCCCTTGCAGATTTTCAGAAATATCGCGTCTTTGCATTCTTTGAACAATGCTGTAACCGATTAAAAAGCAAACTCTCTCTTTCCCACGTGAAACCCTCCTTGCGTCCCTGCCCTGCCACGTGCCCTGGAAGCCCCGTGGAGGTGCGTCTACCAGCCTCTCGTCTCAACCTCGCGGCTCTGAGCGCAGATGGGCAGACAGAGCCGCACACGGCCCTGATGACGCTTCCTGGGTCAGTTCGTACCATTTCTTGAGAAAATAGAGTCGTGAAAGTGTTGCTTTCTCCTAACAGTTATTGAGTAAGTAGGCGCCGTGTGTTGGGGGTCAGGATGGGGGGGATGATACCATTCGTCACGGCCGAGGCGCGTCTGTTCTGCACGGCAGGTGCTCTCAGCTTTGCTCCCGTCTCGGGTTGGCCACGCTCCCGTCTGCTGTGGAGACGGTGACCAGTGTGACCGACAGGCTCCTCATCTTCCACACACACACACACGCAGTCACCGCGGTAGCCACTTTCTTTCTTTCTTTTTTAAAGATTTTATTTATTTTTTAGAGAGGGGGAAGGGAGGGAGAAAGAAAGGGAGAGAAACATCAATGTGCGGTTGCCTCTTCCGTGGCAACCACCCTAGATGGTGGCCTGGCCTGCAACCCAGGCATGTGCCCTGACTGGGAATCAAACCGGTGACCTTTGGTTCAAAGGCTGGCGCTCAACCCACTGAGCCACCCCAGCCAGGGCTGCAGCTATTTTCTCTGTGCTCTGTGCTTCCTCCTGGGACAAGGTAATTGGCACAAAGATGTTTTGGTTCTTTTTTTTAAATATCAGATGATTAGACCTAATGGTTTCCATAGCTGCTGAAACAACACCCAGAAAAAGACACGAAAATTCTCGGAAAAGCCCTGGGAGCCAGCACTCCCGATGCAGAACACTCAGCCGTGTGCCCTCCCCCCAGGACCGTTCTGGAGACGCGGCTCCACTCGCCCTCCGAGCCGGCCGGCCTCCCGAGGGGCACTGCCCTGGGCGCTGCCTGAGTCGAGGCTTCATTCCTTCTGGAATCGCCATCGCCATCATTTATCAACCCGCAGCACTGTGTGGCGAGCCGTGAGGTTAAAATGATGATGAAATAATGACAGCAAATCTGGAGACAAGGGGGGACCGGCACCGGAGGTCCTGCTGCCTCCTGCGTCCCCGCACTCAGGAACCTGGGTACCGTCCGTCCACATGCTGCTCATCCCGCACCAGGGAAGAGGATGTTACAGGAGGGACACTGGCCCGAGGGCAAGGAGGCTGAGCAGGGGTCCTGCTCCTGGTGGCGGCGCCTTCAAAAGGCCCTGACTGCTGTGACAAAAGCCAAGGGCAGGAGGACGAGTCTGAACAGCGGTCACAGGGCCACCGTGACAGGCCTGGAGCCCGCTGCTCACCGGGCATGAAAAGATGCAACCGGCCCCTTCAGTGAAGTGCGGGTTGAAAGAAATGGACACAAGCGCCGCATGGGGGTAGAGAAGAGACACGGGGTCTCCATGGCCTCACCAAACGGGGACACCTAACTCCCCAGTCCCAGGAGAGGCCAAGGGGCATGGCCACTTTCCGTTCTAAAACAGACCTTTTCCCCCTCTTCTCATACAGTGAAGTCAGGAGAGAAGTTCTTCCAAGCCTTAATTTCACGTCTGCAGTGCCCCCAGGCACGGGCCTGTTCCCACCCCCGGCAGCTCAGGGAGGAGCAGAGGGGCCCCGCTGGGTGTGGCCCAAGGGAGAGGGTGCACCAGGGGGAGGGTCTTGGCTGGAGGGCAGAAGTCCAAGGTCTCTGCCGTTTCTGAACGAGGTCCCCTCCCTCAAGGCACCAGTCCTGCCTTCTGCCAGTGTCCCAGGAGAATTGGTCCCTGGACACCCCACCATCAGCCCCCTAGTTCCCACTGCCAACATGCTCGGTCTCCCTTCCTCCTTCCTCCACGCCAGGCAGAAGTCAGAGCCTCCCCTCGGAGGCTAGGAAGGCATTTGTGAACAGGAGGAGGGCTACACACCGGGGAGGGGTGGCGGGGGTGCCGCGGAGGGCCTAGACCCAGCCCGTGCTCACCTCCCCCCACCCTCGGTGGGGGCCCTAGCCTCACTCCTGCGCTAACAGGGCTCGGGCGGGGCTCCGGGTGAGCTGCCCCACCCCGGCCCCCTGGGACCGGCTTCCGCAGGCATCGTCCCACCCTTGCAGACGCAGCGCTGGGTGGGGACCAGCCCAGCCAAGTACCCTGGGGCCCGCTCTCCTCTGCCCTAAGCATCCCACCACCTTGGCAGCTCTTTTCTGAGAGCAGGACCCCCAACGCTTGCTGCCTCTCATCCCCCTAAGCCAGGGAGAGCGCCTGGAGCCAGGCCCACTCTGGCTTCGGAGCCAACCACACGACGCAACGAGAGAGCAGGTGCCAGGGCGCCAGTCCCCCGTCCCGAGGACACAAGGCCCACGAAGACAAGCCTGGGGCCTGGGCCTCCACTTTGGTCTAGAATCTGCCTTCCGCGGGCGGCCGGCCTGACCCCTGCTCCTCTAACGAGCTGGGAGAACCTTGCTGGCCTCAGCACTGATGAGGGCATTTTTGTGGCATTTAAGGCAGGTTTAAAGTTTAAGAAAAAAACAAAAAAACCCACGACACTTCTTTGGTTAAGTGGTTTACCCTTCGTGGTAATTAGATGTAGTGATTGGAATCTCTTTTCTATTCCACGGCAATTTTCCTTTAAATTTCCCCTTTAAAAAAAAAAAAAAGGAAAGACGGCAACGAAGGAGGGAGGCGGCAGGGCAGGCGAGTCATTTGCATTTTGCGAATGAGGCCTCTTGTAAGCGCAGCTCAGGCACTGGGCCCAATGTATGGAATGCTTAAGAGATTACTAAGAATAAAATCTATTAATTAGTCATACTCAATCCCACCGACACCATGTGCATCAGAAGCTTCTTTCCTTCCAGTTTCTCCTCCCCTCTTCCCGCGGCCTCCTGCGGAACCCTCCATCTTCTCCAGATTGGCCCCGGCGCCCCAGACCGCCTTGCCTCCCGGTGACCGGGGCCTGCTGACGTGCTGGGGGGTGTCCCCACCCAGGGCTGGGGTGCTGGGTTTGGGGGCAGGAGCTGGGGCACTGGCAGGGGCGGTGACAGCAGCCAGGAAGATGGCAGCGGCTGGGGGCAGCGGCTTCCCCACCCAAAGCCTGCAGGCCACGCCTGCCTTGTGCCTCTTCTCCCTCCCTTGATGGGTTCAGGGGGGCCCCCTCGCCCAAACAAGAGGAGCCCAGGGCCAGGCAGAGTGAGGAGGGGTCTGGGAGGGTGTCCAGAGAGCAGCAGGGAGAGTGTATTTTGTAAATGGCAGCCTCTGTGTCCCCTTCTGTAAAGTGGAGGTGGGCTGAGGGAGTGCCTAGCTTCACCGGGTCAAGCTGGTGCTCCAGGGGTCTCCTGCACTAAACCTGGAAGGTTCTGGCCAATCCAGTACAGGTGACGGAGGGCCAGAGTGGGAGGGCTAGGCCAGATGAGGGACCTCAGTGGGAGCCGAGCGGGCAGGTCAAAGCCTGGGGGAGGGGCTGGGCAATGTGCCCGGGACTGTGACGGAGCCTCCCTCCTTCAGCCCTGGTGAGCTGGAGGGGGGGGCACCCCGCTCCCCCAGCCCCGACAACGGCAGCTCAAGCCTCAAAGCCAACCTAGTCCACTTCAGACACCTGCCTCCTGCTCAATGCACCAGGGAGGAGGACTGGGCATCCGAGGCTCGTGCTTATGAAAAATACAACAAGGAGAATTGGATGCGGCAGACAGGGAGCGGTGAGGCTGGGGCATCTGCTAGAAGGAGGGGCCTCGGGGCGCACAGCAGCCTGAGCCCCCAAGGACCAGGCCACGGCCAGGGCCAGCTGCGGGCAGCCCGTGTGCCCACCCCACTCCTGCAGTCAGTCGGCGCAGGTGATGGGTGACAGACCCCTGGCGCTGGACTGTCGCCAGGTGGAGCGCTAACGAGCAACTCACAGGCCGGCACAGGCCTTCCAGAACGCGGACCAGGAGGCCTCTTTTTTCCTGAGGAGGGATAAAAGGGCTCAAAAATGCAAATCATTACCGTTTACAACCCAGCAAGCCTGCTAAATTGATTAGGAAGATTAAACCCCATGGAGGTGGAGAGAAAGGGGGATTTTTGGAGTTCTGTGAACCAGTGGCCAGTGGCCATGCGTACGGCAGGGATTTTACGGGCCAGGCTCAGGGGCTGTCCCTTCGCAGCTCCCAGGGGGACTGGGGTTCTGTGCAGGCTGACACCACGCAGGCCGGAGCACTCAGGATGATCCTGGGCTCGGGCGCTGCCCTCAGGGAAAGCAGCTTGGCCTCCACGGAGGGACCAGTGCTCCAGCGTCTGAGACAGGGCAGGTTACGTGGCCCACGAGGTCTTTCAGAAGCTGCCCCCACCCCCGGCAGAGACTCTGCCCCTGCCCTCCAGATTCTGTCTGCCTTCCAGGGTCAAAAGGGAGGGGTAATGGCCAGTCCAGTCACTGGAGAGTGGGGTGGGCTCTGGAGCCACGAGCTTTTCTGCGTCCTTTCTGTTCCAGGATGGGTCTGGGTCTGATCCATTCCCTGCAGTCAGTGAAAGGGAAGGGGGCCAACTGTACAGGGAAACTGAACGTCAGGGTAGAGAATCACTGGCCTTGCAAAGGAATCAGGCAGTGAGCTCTCCGTCACTGGGAGCATTCAAGCATTTGATAAGGAGATGGCAGATATTTTCTTGTCTAAGCCTAGACCTGGTTCTTTGACTAGAAGATCCTGGTCCCTACCCTCACTTTATCATCATCCCTCAGGACCCTCTGTGGGAGATGATTACTGTGCTGCTCAGAATGGCCACTGTCCCCTGAAAATCCCAGGTCAAGGCCATCCCACAGTCCCATCAAAGAGTGGCTTGTGCTGCCAGAGATGCCACAAAATCACCATCCTCAGTAGCCAAGAGGCTCCAGGACATACCACTCTACCCAGGAGTCTGGACAGGTTTTGGGATAGTGACCACCCCCCACCGCCGGGGCTGGCTGGCCTGGGCCACCTCCCAGGTCCCAGGCTGCCCCTGGACCTGCTCCCCATGTCACCATCCCACTGGCCATTTCCCCAGCTCGACGTGCCGCAGCCCGGCAGCACTGCTCGGGGCACCTGTTTGAGCATTTACCACTTCTTTCAAACTGTTCCAAGCACTCGCCTGAAAAACCCACTTTTGCTTCTTTAAAAACACAAAAAGATTCCCCAGGCTCCTCATTCCTCCGCCCTCTACTTTCCCCTTCCGCCTTTGCATTTTTGATACATTGTTTCCTCTGGTTTCATACATCCCACCATTGCTGGAGCCGCGCCCACTTTCTCACTGTAACGGTTTGCAGATGCGTCCAGACCTCCCCCCCCCCCCCCCCGCCCTGCAGGCCACAGGGGCCAAGCTGCCTTTGCCCCCACGAGGCAGACCTGGGGTACCTGCTGCCCTGCTCCCCGCTGGACCGCAGGCACACCACGCCTCCTCCACCCCTTGTTACTGAAGTGCCTGGCAGGGGCTGGGAGGGCACAGAGGGTGCCCTGCGGGGCTCGCCCTCCCTTCCTAGCAAAGCCAGCCCCTGAGGCTCTGCAGCCATCGGAGCCACCAGGGTGCCCTGACCCCTGTCCTTCACACACCCGCCCATGCCGTCCCCCACACCTGAAAACCCAAAGAGCTGAGCCCAGAAAGTCCTTGCAGGAAGGTCTTTGCCATCACTGCCCCTAAATCTCTTTTACAGCTGTCAGGGTGGACGGCTGCGCAGGCAGGGCGCCAGGTCCCCGAGCTCCTCCACGCCGGCTTGCTGAGCCCAGCACGGAGCCTGGCACACGCTGCCCGGCGGCCTCCTCTCAGCCCACCTCTCGCTTCCTTGCCCTGCTATGTCTGCCTCCTCGGGCTTGGCGGGCAGGGCCCAGGTGTGTCAGCCACTGCCCGCCTCCTGCCTCCTGCCTCCTGCCCTGCACCTGCCCCTCCGCAGCCCGGCGCGTGGCGGCACTCACTTCCCACGGCTCCTCCTCTCTGAGGCATCCCCCTCTGCCGTCCCTCGGACCCACGGACCGTCAGCTGTGAGCACAGCCAGCCTGGGTGACTCAGTTTCCCCCCTCCAAGCCGAGCCTCTGGTGGGAGACAAAGAGGGTAGAGAACTGGGCGTTCCACCTTGTGTAGCCCTCCCTTCAAGAGTCCCCACATTCTGAGCCATCCACCAGGAGGAACTAACCAACGTTCTGAAGACGGAGAAAAACAAAGGCCGCGGGAGCTGCCGACCAAAGCCCCAGCGGTGCGGGCTGCCTCATGCTCCCCTCCCCGGGGCCTCCCACCTGCCCTGTGCCTGGGGCCATGCCTGCTGAGCGTCCTGGGGACCACCTGCATCTGGCCGGTGTGGCTTCAGAAGGTTCTGGGTGCCCCAGAAGAAGACTAAGCCCTAAAACTAGCCTTAGGTTTTTTTTTACCCGACCCAGCAGGCCCCCTGCCAGCTGTGGCCCCTCTGAGAAGCCCACCCAGCGGCCAGGCCCAGGCGCGGCACTGCGGTGGTGGGGGAGGGGTGTTTGGACCGGGACCCTGGTGCCTTCCAGCTCACAGAGATGCTGCGAGCCGTGGGGAGGGATGTGGGGCGCCCAGCGCCTGAGGTTTGTCATCCGAGGGGGGCGAGAGATGGTGCTGAAGGTTGGGGGAGGCTGCGGGCCGTGAACACGGGCGCGCCGGAGCCGTGCAATTCTGCTGGCTGGCTGGCTGAAGCGAACACCTGCTAATGATGAATGTCACCTGGGCGGGGGAGGGGGAGCTGTGAACAGGGAGGCAAAGGGGGAAAGTAAACTCGAAGCCCAGGCAGGCGTGAGCACTGCAGAGCAAGGTTCTCTAAGAGCCACCACGTCCCTTCTCCCGCACCCCACCCCACCCCCGCCTGTAAAGGTTGCGTGGCATTTCGTATCTCTGAGGATTCTGGAGTCGCAGGCACTCAGCTCATTGTGATCCATGCCCTGTGGTCCAAGGGGGGAGGCTGGGGGAGGCCAGGGGAGGGGTGGGCCCCAGCCAGACCCTGGGGGAGGGCAGGTCCCACTGCTACAGAAGGTGGGTGCCCGGCCGGCCAACAGCGAGGGGAGCGTAGGCCTGGTCTCTCGCAGACCTGAGGCCAAGGTCCTTCCTGCCACCCGAGGGGCCCCTGCCCAGGCACCCCAGCCTCCCTTGTGCCCCTTCCCTCCCCAACCTGCAGAATCAGCCCTGTAGGGCTGCTTGGCTGCACACCCATCTTTGTCTTTTTTCTCGGAAGGGCAAAGCAATCCCAGGGGTCTGAGGGACGGGACCACCCCCACGGCCGCCACCCGAGACCCGGCTGGCTGACCCGGCCCGGCCCCAGGCCCGCCGGCCCCACTCCCAACCTGACCGCCGGACAGGTGTTTCTGGAAAGTGAGACACGCGGACCCCCACCGCGCCGCCAACCCTAACCAAAGTGCGCTGCGACCACCCTCGCCTCCTCCTCGTAGGTGCCTTGAAACTTCACTGTCGAGACGAATGTGATGAACTGTCTGGTCCTGTGTTCTGTCTGTCTGTTTTCATACGAGATGTCCACGTCCACTATCCTTGTCCTTTCTTGAAATAAATAGAAAGATTTAACTTTTACGGTCGTCTCACTGCTGACGCTCGGCTTGGGGCCCAGCACCCCGGGGGCCGGGTGTGTGTCCGCGCACCCACGGTGCTGACTGCCCACAGCCTGTTCCCAGGGGAGCGGCACTGGCCCAGAGGCGGTGGCCTGGCCAGGGGCAAGGCGTCACTCTGGGTTAGGAAGGTCCCCGGGCGCCACTGGAACCAAAATAATGATTCTGCTCTGAGATAAGAGGGACACACTGTGAGTCCGTCACATGAGCCTGCAGGAAGGCAGACCGGCTACAGGCAAACTCCAAGAGGGTCCCCACATGGAGACATTAAAAGGAGCTGCGATTGTCCCTTAGGAGGCTCTGGCACCCACGGGGGCATTCAGATGAGATGGGTTGGGGCCCCCACGGCAATCACAGCTCGGCAGGCCTCACCTGCTGCCTCAAGGAAACCAATGCTGCACCCTGAGAACAGCAGCGGTTTGGGCTCAGTTTAACAGGACTTGTAACTTCGGCCTTAGAGCTGATTTCACGTCTGGGTTCAGGTTAGTGAGCTTTTCCTTCTATTCCAAGGAAGCAAAGTTAGTTCTCAGCGGACGCTGGCGGTGACTCGGGGCTCTCTGGCCCCACAGGTGTCCCTTTCCCCTCACCCTCTCTCGTCCTTCCACCTCCTGGGGGCAGGAGCCAGCCCAGAGGGACCATGCCAAAAAGCACACAGTGGGGGCTCCAGGGGGAAGGGGGGAGGCGCCCACAGGCCTGCCCCCCAGCTAACCTCGCCCACCCCCACACTGGCAGCGGTGAGCAGAGCAGGGCGCCCGGGGCTCCGTTCCAGTCTGGTGGGGGGGGCAGGCGGCGCTGGGCTCTCAAACTGCTCCTCAGCCTCTAGAGTGGACAGAGGCCCTGCCAGTCACAGGCATTTGGAGACCACTGGGTTAATGCCACTGCCGTCCTGCAGGGCCTCTCAGGCAGGGACCTGGCGTCCCGTGGGGTCCCTCCAAACTGAGTTAGACACACATGCTCCAGCACGTACTCCCCGCGCCTCAGTTTCCACGTCTGTAGAATGTGCGTGTGCTGAGCCTCCGTGACAGGGGTGTGACGCAGGGCGTCCCTCTCTCGTCCAGGGAGCGAAAGCCCCGACCCCGGCACACCCCGACCCCAGGCAGGCACCCAGCGGGTTGGCATTTCTCACCGGGAGCCCGGGGTGTCCCAGCAGAGCCCTTGGGGCAGGACAGCAAAGTGCCCCAGGTCTAGCACAGAGGAGAGACGTCCTAGCAAGGGGGGGGCCTGTTCCCCGGACCACCCGATCTCGCCAAGGTCTGCAGCCTGCTCTCTGAAACCTACCGCTGAGGACGGCCAGTTGGCCTGGGCTTCCAGCTGCAGGAGGACAGAGGGTGGGAGGGGGCATCTTAGGTTTTAGTAAGTGCCGCAGGGGAACTGGGTGCCCCTCTGGAGGGTCTCACTGAGACCCCTGGGGGTGTTTCCAGGATCTGTATTTCAGGTTTAATGGAAAGAAGATGCTGCAAACACAACCTACCCATTTTGAGAGGCTGTGGTGCCCCCTGTACCCCTAACCCTTGACCTCATAGGAAAGCAAGCATAGCTGGGCTGCCCCTCAAGGGGGCATGAGCTCAGGACCCTGAAGTGCCCTGTCTCCCTAACGTGTCTTCAGATGGCCCCAGGGAGACAGGGTGGTCTTCCCATGAACCTGGGACCCCACGTATCACTGAGGTTATGGACCGGCGTGGGGGTAACACCCCAGATGGCTGCCCTACCGCCAAGGGCGCACCCCAAAGCCCAGGGCCCTGCTTCTGGAATCCAACTCCTCTAGTTTAGTCTGACTCAGGACTAACAGTTCCAGTGGAGACAGAGGGGGTGGCCACTACCCCCTACACCTGGGCCCTACTGGCTGCAGGTTCTAGATGCTTCCTTCTCGCTGCCTCCACTTCCCAGGCAGGGCCTCTGGCCTCACCAGGCAGCCCAGAGAAGAGGCAACCAAACCCAGGAAGGGTCTAACACTCCAAACCGCGCCCCCAGACCCAAGTTCTGTGGCCCGTTCTTAGCACCTGGCCTAGAAGGTCCCAGAAGCTTCCGAGGCCACCCAGCCAGCCCCCAAATGTGGCCTCAGTAGGTCTGGGCGCGGCTTGCTCATCCACTCTCAGGCGCCCAAAATAAAGTGCGCCCCATGCTGCACACTGGCCGCCTCCCCATCCCCCCCTTCCACAGGCCCAGTCCCCTCGTCGGCATCTGCTCCCCCAGCGCCTGCAGCCCCCAAGGCAGGCGCCGCTGAAGGCCCCTCTCCTGCGGTGGCGGCAAAGTAAATGGGGTCTGCGAGCCGCTCACCGACAGCACAGACGAGCCCGTGCCCCCCCTTCGGAGATTTACAGGGGAAGTGAAATCTTATTTGCACCGCTGCCAAGCTGGGGACGCGATGGAATTATGCCCGGAGAAGAGACCCAGCCGGCCCCTCGCGGCAGCGGCTGCATCGGAGACGGGCTTATTAAAAGCCACAGTGGCCACATTTCAACCTGTTTCAGGTGTTTAAGTTATTTACTGCCACCCAGAATTCAGCGCTAAGTTTTAATCATTTTTATTTCCGAGACGCAGGCGAGTGCCAGAGAGGTCCCCGTACAGGGAACTTCGGGTCTAAATGTTCCCTGCAGAGGGACATGGGGTGCAGGGGCCTGTGAGGAGGCAAGAATGGGGGCCCGAGTGGCAGCAGACGGCCCTGACTCACCCCAGGGTCACACCAGGCCTGGCCAAAGCCCAGATTGACAGGGAAGGCAGGCTCTATGACCTGCACCCCACGTCTGGGGGCCCAGTGATCCCCCCGAGACCCTGTGGGCATTTCTGAAGGCGGCAACCGTGTAACTTCTCTGAGCGGTCACCTCTCTCGGGATCTGACCGCCAACCACACGATCGGCGGGTTTCCACTGAGCACCAACTGTGTGCCAGGCTCAGGTGTCAGATGCAGCAGTGAACGGGGACCCTGAAGACCCCTGCCCAACGGGGTCTTGCCAGCTTCCTCTGATAAGGGCCAATCAAATATTTGTGGTTGGTTGGTTAAAATCTCCGAGGACAAATCAGCCCTTGGAAGAAAAGGCCCTGGTGTGGGGGGCAGCGGTGGGGTGGGGGGGGCAGGGAGGGGTCACGCCCACCACAGGAGGGTCTACTCTCTTAGTCCCCGCAGCAGGGACCACCCCCCAACTGCAGATGAGAGGCACAGGGCCTCTAGGTGTCGACGCCCTGTGTCTTTCATGGAGAACGCGGGGTGAGGGGCCCGCGCCCTGTCTTGCCCTGTCCCCCACCCCTCAGAACTCTCGGGGAGCACACAGCCTCCCCTTCACAGAGAGCTACAGGCAGGGGCCGCACTGTCTGGGGTTCACAGGGCCACGAGGGCCTGCACCCTCAGCAGGGCTGGGTGGAGGGCTGCCTGGCGCCCCCTGCATAGTGGGGATGAAGCCTGTTAGGGCTCAGCCTGGGGGCTAAGCCGCCGCCGTTCCTGAGGCCCCTTCTCCACCTGTTTCCAGATACTCCGGGAAGACCAATGGGAACCTTCCAAGTCCAGGCTGAGCCAAGAGCAGAAATTCTTAATTAGCTTTCCCTTGGACCGGGGCCCTGGCGAATGGATTAGTCGTGGTGGGACCGAGAAAGAGCGTGGAGTCCTCCTTAAAGCTGAAATTACAAACGGGGTGAAGGGCCTGGCGGACGTCACCAGGGACAGCGGGTGCCCAAGCGGGCCCTCCCCAGCTCACCGGGGACTGGCAGATGGAACCTGTCACCAGGAAGGCACAGGAGATGTGCTCCCGGCAAGGCCCAGGTCCCCGGGAAGCTGGCGCAGGGAGACGCTTGGCTCGGCTACGCCGCGTGCCTGAGCCTTCTGCCGACTGAGCTCCCTCCCATGTGGCGGCCCAGACCTGAAGCTCCCTAACTGGGGGGCATTTCCTCAAGGGGTGCCCATCTGTGAAAGGCAGGATGGCGCGGCCGATGGCACCAGGCGTCAGACATCTGTCACCAGGCCCCACCCTTGCTCACCCCCATTTCCACACAGGCCCGCCAAGGTCCACACTTAGGGGGCCTGCCCTTGGCCACAGTGACAGGGATAAGCATTGGTCCTTCCAGGCTCCGCCCACAGCCCGAGTCCGGGCCCACGAGGCCTCACGATGAGGCCTGACTGGGGGTCTGGTCTGTGGGCCTGGAAAGAAAGGCACAGATGAGGCCGGGCAGCCCTGCTGGTTGGAGCGTCACTCTGTTGCACCAGGGTGGCGGGTTCAATCCCTAGTCAGGGCCCGTGCAGGAAGCAGCCAATGAATACATGGGTAGGTGGAACGACAAACTGATGTTTTTCTCTCTCTCTCTAATAGTAACAATTAATAAAAGGAAAAGGAAAAGAAAGGCACAGATGAGCCTGCCCCAGATATCACTGTGGAGAAGCTCCCAGGCAGCTTCCTTCAGGAAGCCTTCCCTGACCCACCCACCAAAGCCTCACACCCTGTACTGTAACCCTGTGGCCCCCACTCTATAGCCAAGGCTTCTAGAAGCGGGGACTGGGTCTTTGTCATTTTACACTCTCTGAATGAAAGGAGGAGGGTGCACCGCCTCAGGCCCAGGCTCTCCTGCTGGCTGGCTTTGCGGGGGGGGGGGACATGAGGGGGGTGGGCAAGCGGAAGGACAACTCGAAGACTCTGAACGGAGACCCAGGTTCCCCGGGACCGAAGCATCTGAAGCATGACTCGTGCTCTCCCCCTTCAGTTTCACCTCCAAGGCCGCACTGCTGTGGTCCCGCCTCGCTGGGCTCTGCAAACACGGGCTGCCCTTGGTGGGCAGGCAGAGAACGGGCACTGGGGGCCCCAGCTCCCCTCTGGCCTCCCTGCTCTCAGCACTGGAAGCTGCACCACACCCAGGGCACCACCTTGGACCCATCCCGGATGCTCCACCTGGCTGCCCCTTCCAGCCGCCCCAGGGTCAGGTCATTACAGGTGTCCCTGTTGCCTGGGCAACATCTCCCTGCTCCAGCTTGCAGCCCCTG